TGGATAAATAGCAAGGACTTGAATGAAATGTGATTAATTTGCTTATATCCCCCTCCTCTCTGCCATTCCCAGGGAGTTCAGATTTCATTCTGCATGATGAAAGGTGCCCACATTAAACCAAACATTTAACCTTGGAGTTCATGTCAGTCTTTTCACATTTTCTCATTCAGCTTTCACCATGATTTCTCATACTTGCAGTATTTAAACTTGTACTTTGAACTCTTGTGTTTATATTAAAGGTCTCACAAATTAATTTGGGTTATTTCTGGCCACTGCTCCTTTGTTCCCTTGGACACAGAAGAATTGCAGCTGATTTTTCAATAATTTTACCGGCACATCCTAAAGAATCTGGAAACAACAGGGGAAATAAGGAAATCAGAATTATATTTTCTATATTTCAAGCTGTTTGCCAGCTCAGAGCTGACAATAATGCACTACAGACAAGGAAATCTGCTTTGGAGCAATTTTGGTTTCTCCACACCACCTTGTATCTGGCCCCAGCAGCTGCTTCTAAAACTTGTACTTCAGCTGCCATAATCTCATCATTAAAGGTGGATTTAGGGTTTAAGAGGCGCTGGAGAAACCCTTTTCCTTGCAGCCAGGGGCTGGGAGATGACTCTGCATTTCAGGTGCAAGCTCAGCTCTGCTCCAGCTCAGCGTTAATCCCGACTGAGGGAGGGTTGGTGCCACGACCCTCGGCAGTGCTGGGGAGATGCTGCTCCTGCCTTTTCTCTCAGCTCCTGGCTCCTCAAATCCCTGCTCTCTCGCTGCTTTTGTTTCCTGCCCTTGCAGTGGGACAGGAGGAAAAAGCTGAGTTTGACCACATCCATGAGAATGTCAAGCATTTAGACTTTATTGGTTTAGAAGCTTACTAAATTTAAACAGAAGCATTAACATGGCCTTAGGCTCTCTTGACAGTTATAAACTCTTCCTTGGGGGGATTTCTGTAATGCTTTCTAATCAGCTTAAGGAGTTAATTAAACAGCTGTCACTTAGCTGCTTAATTCTGAGACTTGATGCTAAATAAGATTTGAAATTGGTTATGCATGACTGGAGCATGGATCCTCTGATATGGGCAGGATGGCTGCTGCTTGGGCAGGAGGCAAATCCAGGTCTTTATACCTAAATAGTGAGAAGATTCAGGGTGGGACCCTGGATTAATGCTCTCCATGCTGATTAATAGAAAATACATTGAAAATGGAGAATTTAGGGAATGTCAAATGGGAGGCATTTCCAGGCAGCTGTTCAGGCCCGTTTGTGCATGCTCTGGACTGCAGGAGATTTCAGGGGGCAGTTTATTCTCTCCCTGCTTGCACTCTGTGCATAACCCAGGAGCTACAATACCTCCTGAAATCCGAGAGGAGCATTCTTGATTTTTGAAATTAGATTTTTAGCCTGCAGATATATATTCCCCTGCTCTAATGAGGAATGTCTCTGGAGATCTGCTGAGCTTCCAGAGCAGGAGTTACAGTGTCCTGCTGGAGTTTTTAACCTCCTTTTGCCTGTGCATTGCAGCAGGACAACCTCTCCTCCGGAAGGGTGTGAGTGCTGGGTGGCAGGATCCCTTCAGGGCAGGAGAGAAGCAGCAGTGCATTTTACAGGTGATGAATGCAGGGAGGTAAATCCAGTGGAGAATGTGGTTGGACAGGATGCAGCGCAGGGGCTGGTGAGCATTTCCAGCCAGCTCAGAGCAAACTGCCAGGGACAGGCTCCTGTAGAGTCCTGAGGGGCAGAAGGGATCCCCTTGTGTCCCAGGCATATATATATATATATATATATATATATATATATATATATACACAATATATATATACACAAACTGCGTATACACAGACAACAGAAACAGACATTTGGAAAGATTTATAAAGATATTGTAAAGTCCTTTTTTGCACCCCAGGAAAGATAAGGCAAAAGATGTCTGAAGGGAAATTAAATTTCAGGCAAGCTACCTATTAAAATTGAAAAAACCTAATACGTACTCACTTCTGCATTTCAACTTAAATTGATGCTCACTGTGTACATCTTCTGAATATGTTTCTGCTGGAGGGTTTAATATGCTCAGTTATTTAATATGAATCTCTTCAGTGAGCAAAGAACACTCGCTCTGGCATCTTCTTTAAAGTATTACTGTTTATTTACCGTGGTAGCAATTTCAGAATAAAGATTACCTGGTCTTCCATTTCTATTACATGCAGAGACATGTTTTTCTCTGATTATTTCATTTTATTATTGGAGGGGCTCAGTGTAAGTGAATTATAGAGCTATGCTGTGTTAATAGTTAGAGAAAGTTCAGCACCTTTTTAATAGCTGCTGAGGGAATCAAAATTCACCAGTGAGACTGTGGCTGTAGCTGTGCAAAAGCATAACCATTCCCATCCCGAGGTGCCCCGACACCTTATCTCCTGTAATCTGTGTTAGTTATAGATAAAGAACATCATATTTCTTCGGGAGATTCCTTTTCCACTCAAGCAGCAAAAAGCAACAGTTATAAATTAGTAACTATTTAGATTTATAGCTTTTGCATGCTGAGGCTCTGAACTATAAATCTTAGTGTGGCTAAGTAAGAATGGTGTTTGTTTCCTCAGAACGAAGCAGTGTTCACATGCCTTCAGCAGGGCATGTCCAGCCCTTCCTGGCTGCTCAACAGGGGCCTGCAGGGGCATTTATTGCTCTGTGCCCTGCAGGGTGAGCTGGGTCCGTGTTGGTGTTTGTGCCCTGCAGGGTGAGCTGGGTCAGTGTTGGTGTTTGTGCCCTGCAGGGTGAGCTGGGTCAGTGTTGGTGTTGCTCTGTGCCCCTGTGAGCTGGGGTAAGTGTTGGTGTTGCTCTGTGCATAGTGGGGTGCAAAGCAGTGCCTGGAGAAGCTGTCCTCAAGTCCTTCTCTGGATAAAGGGAAATACCTTTTCCTGTACCTGGGGAGGGGCAGAAATGTCTGCAGGCAGAGCACCCAGCTCAGTGACTGCAGGGCAGGACAGCCCAGTGTCACCCAATGTCACCCAGTGCCACCCAGAGCCACCCAGTGCCACCCAGTGTCACCCAGAGCCACCCAGAGCCACCCAGAGCCACCCAGTGTCACCCAGAGCCACCCAGTGTCACCCAGTGCCACCCAGTGCCACCCAGTGTCAGGGGGCTCTGGGCAGGGCAGGGACTCAGAGGTGCTCGGGGCAAGGCTGTGAGCAGCAGTGCCAGCCATGGGCAGGGACAGCTGCCCTGGGATGGATGCACTCTGTGTTCAGAGCATCCAAAGGCAGCCCTGCAAAACTCAGAGACTCAGAAGAAATTCCTGGAGCTTCTGAGGCTCCTTCTCAGTTAGTGGCTCTTACCAGGGGAAATTGCATTTGCCTTTGGTAAGCAGAGCTCATTAATCACGCTGCTTCAAAGGCTCAGTTATTAAAGCTGCCTTTGCTTTATGCAATAATTGTGGGGGTCACACTAATGGATGCAGGGGAGGCAGGAGCTGTGGCTGCCTGGGGGAGCAGCTCTGGGCAGCTCAGCTCAGGTGTGAGCAGCAGCAGGTGGGTGCTGTGGCCTCCAGCAGCCCCAGGGAAATGGGATTGGTGCCTGAGTGCTGCAGCACCGCTGGGAGCAGGGCCTGACGCTGCTGCTGTGACTGCAGTGGGTGCCAACAGTGCTGCTGGCTCTTGTGCTGCCCCCTCTGCAGCTCTGCGGGGCCCATGGGGGCAGCAAAAGGTGCTGGGGAACCTGGGTGCAGAGCCCAGACATGGGAAAAGGCACAGAACCTGGAAAGTTCATTGCAGACCTGAGCACTCAGTGCCTGAGCAGTGCATTCTGCACTGAGAGCCAACGTGTACTCAAGGCTGGCTCTACAGGCAGATATTCTCACCCCTGGATGAATTGCAATTTAAAAATATCTGAAGGGCTTTTGTGCTGAGGGAGGGAGAGGATTTTCCTCTCAAGTTCTCTTTTTGTGAAATCCTCTTTCTCCCTTCCCTAAAGATCATGGGGAAGGATGGGGCAACCTTAGCAAAGCAGCTATCAAGTGACCAGGAGGGGTTTCTCTTTCTTTAAATATTGCTTTGAGTCTGAATAAAGTGTGTCTGTTTCCTTAAGTAAGAGGAAAAGGTCTTTTTGATGTGAATACTTTAGAGGAGAAAAATCTCAGCTTCTCCCCTTTAGCCCAAGAGGCAGTAGGAGCAGTCATCATCTTGGTTCCAATCCCCACTCTTGTCTTCCAGGAGTAAAATCAGGTCAGTCCCAGAGCTCAGAGTGGGAGCTATTTAGGTAATGAGAATTTAGCACCTGGGGGGCTTTGGGAGCCTTTATTGCACAAGAGCCAGCTGAAATCAAGAGCCTCTTGTTCTACAGGATGGTCCCAGCATCACAGGCACAGCTCTGAAAGGCTCAGAGACCCTCCCAGAAATGAGCAGGATCTTGCAGTTAGGGTGGGGGGACTTGGGCAGCAGTCTGTGCTCAGTGTCCTGGCAGAGACCAGCCAGTCTGTGGTGCCAGGCACAGGTGACACCCAGGTGACAGAGCTCCGGTTGGTCTGGTGCTCTTCAGGTGACCAGAACTCAGCCCTTTTAAATTAGAACCGGTAAATCAAATGGGAGGAATTGCAACAGGCACTGGTCATGACAGAGCTGGTTTTGTTTGGTGAGCCCAGACCCTCCCAGCATCCCCCCTCTGTCTGAGAGGGGCTGGTTCTGCACAAACCACTTTAAGAGGTAAAGAAAGAGCTGTGGGGAGGTGCTTGCCCACCAGGAGCCAGGGTAAATCCCACATAACTGAGGAGGGCGTGATCCCACATTCCTGTGGTGCACAGTGACTTACCCAGGACATGAGACTGCCTCTGGTTCCCCTGGAGGCAGAGCCAGGGTGCCCATAGGAGGGGCAGTGGCCTCACAGGGTTCTGGCCTTCTGCTGCCCTGGGAACAGTCCTTGTCACAGCCGTGAGGAATTGAGGCTGAATGCAGGTGGTGCCAATGAATTAATAGCAGAATATATATATCTACTAAGTGGCCTTTGGTTTCCTTTTCTCCTAGGAAGCAGAGATCCTGAACACAGCTATTCTCACTGGGAAAACAGTGGCTGTCCCTGTCAAGGTGGTTTCTGTGGAGGATGATGGCACTGTGACAGATCTGGTGGACTCTGTGGAATGCAGATCTTCAGATGAAGACGTCATTAAGGTAGGATCAGGCTGCTCCATCCAGGGAGGCAGAGGCCCTGCAGGGCAGGGCTGTTCTCTAATGGAACAAGTCCTTTCATTTCCTGACTGCTCTGCTGCTGGAACACCGAGATTTATTATTGCTGGTATTGCTGTGTGGCTCGCTCCAGTGAAGCACAAACCAAACACCAAATCCCAATTTCCATCCTGCTCGTCAGGCACGTGGGGCTGGCTGGCACTGCCCATTGGGGGGCATTTCCAGGCTGGCACATTTCTCCTGTGCCCCTGCAGCCCCTGGCTGTGGGTGCAGAGCCCTGGCAGTGCTGCTGCCCCTTGGTGTGGCTCAGGGCTGCTTTCAGCCACAGGTTTGGTGGCTCCCTGTCACAGAAAGTGAAGAACAGAGCTGGCCAGAGGTGCATGGTTTGTCCTGAGCTATCTCTTCTGGAAAAAAAAAAAAAAAAAAAAAAAAAAAAAAAAAATTGCAATTTCTGTGTTCATTGGACTTGTTTTAAATAATTTCCTCATGGTGGTTCCTTATTCATGAGATGAACCCCAGCAATTTCAAAGTTTGGTGTTTGTAATGCTTCCCTTTTAGAATCTTCTCAGTGCTCCTGTTTACCTGGTTAGGTACCATGTTGGTATTTGCTGATTAAATGTGTCTTTCTGGCTGTATTATTAGGAACCTTTGGGGTTTGGGGGTTTTTCTCTTCTGTGAAGCCTTTTTGGATCTGCTAAATCTGCCAAATATAGCAAATTGTTGGACTTAATTTAGATTTGGAAACAGAAGGAAATTATTTGTCCTTATGTTGTGGGAGTTAATGGACCAAGTCCTTACTAACTCATCTTTTTGGTGAATAGGGAAAAAAATATTTTAAAGCCAATACATCATTTGGAAGACATGTAAAAAAGCAGTTTTGCTCTCTGGTGTTTTAGTCATTGCCTGTAGGGACATGGATGTCCCAGTCAGTGCTGGGTGTGGTGTGTTCACATCCCCACCCCATTAACTGGGCTGTTGGTGACAGCCCTGGATCAGGATCAGGGATCAGGACGTGCTGCTCCCCTCCTCAGCAGCACAGAGGGCTCTGCACAGCTGAATGAGGTGCCAGTTTAAAGTGAGCTCTTAATTGGAAATGTGTCTGGAGTTTGCAGTTTACCTGCTCTGGTTCAGAGCGAGCCTTGTTCACAGGCTCCTAATGAAGATAAAGATATATAATTACTGGCCAGCCTTCAGCATGCAGCAGTAATTAGAGTTCTGTTCTCTGGGCAGCAGAGTGGGGAATAGAAAATGGAAGGAAAACCTGCTTAAGATGCCCATTGAAAAATAAAGATTAAGATTACATTTCTTTGGGTCTTCAGTGTTGCTGTTTTTCAATGCAGCTGTCAAGTAGCATCTAACAGATTGATTATGTCTTTGTGGCTTAGCTTTTATTCCTGGTTTTTTGGTGTTGATTAATGAGGAGGTTAAGCTCATTTTCCTTGCAGAATGAGGGTACCTCATTCTTCTCTTCGTTTCAGGGTCCACATTTATTACTCACTTCTTTCATCTGAAACTTCAAAGAACTTTAAAGATCTGGTCCAAACTGCACTGACTCTTTTTGTGCCAAACTGCACCTACCTGAACCGGGTTGAGTATGTCAGAGCAGAAGTCAGTCAATTGAAACAATATTTTTGTTGACAAATGATTATCAGAAATTACTTGGTCCAGCCTGATAGAACAACCAGAAAATGGAGGTGTGCTATAGACTGTGTTTCACTAATGAGACACAGAAAAGTTAAGGTGTGAATTTCAAAGTGCTGTCAAGTACTGACCATTTGTGGATAGTAAAACTTCTACTGAGCTAATGGGAAAAAAAGAGAGATTTTGAGCCAACTTTATTTTTGCTGAGTTTTTAGTAAAGAATAAACTCTCAGGATGATTTTAATCACGAATAAGAAGAGAAGAAAAATCAGCTTCTTTTAATCTTTCATTTTGAAAAGACATTTCTGTTTCCAAATGGCCATTTTTTCAGGGCTCAACAAAGCCTGGAAGTTTCCAAAGCAACACTTTCCAGTGCTCTGGGTTTTCAGTTTGAGTTAATTGAAAATCTGCATTTGGTTACCCTGAAACGAAAACTGCTTTTTGTTCATTTTGTTTGATCAGACACCTGAAAGTTGCCAGAAGTCACCCGGTGCTGGGGCCAGCCCTGGGAACAGGATTCAGCTCCTGTTCCCCTTTTTGTGCTGTACCGTGCATTTCCTAGAGGGCTCCTTTTGAATTCAGTCACCCAAAGCTGTGTGCTTTTCCTCCAGGACCCCTGCAGCTGATGGATTGGTGGATTGATTGATTGATGATGGATTGATTGATGATTGATTGATTGATGATGGATTGATTGATGATGGATTTCCTCCTGCAGCCGTGGCAGGGCTGCCCGTGGGGCTGGGCTTTGCCCGGATGGCAGGAGCTGCTGGGCTCAGGGAGGGGAAGGGGTTGGTGTTGCTGCTGGCACAGCCTGGGCACAGCCTGGGCACAGCCTGGGCACTGCCCCAGAGCCCTGCAGGGTGCCCAGAGCGGCCCTCTCTGGGAATTCCCTTCCGCAGAATCACTGAAACACTGAATCACACTGAATCACACAATCACACGGAATCCCAGAATCACTGGGTTGGAAGAGACCTTCAAGATCCTCGAGTCCAACCCAGCCCCAAGCCCTCAGCTGAGCCCTGGCACTCAGTGCCTCATGCAGGCTTTGTTAACCACACCCAGGGATGGGGACTCCCCCGCCTCCCCAGGCAGAACATTCCAGTCCTTTATCACCCTTTAAGCACCTTTTCCTGTACCCAAGCTGCATTTCTCTCCTTTGGCCAGCTCCCCCAGAGCTGTGCAGCCCGTTGTGGGGCTTGCCTGGTGCTGTGCTTGTCCTCTGCAGGCTCTGGTGTCCCCAGCTGTGTGTGCCGGGATTCTGATCCCCCCTGCTCCCCAGGATGGCACCGTGCTTGCTGGGCCCCCTGCTCCCCAGGGTGCTGCAGAGATGGACACTCACTTCTGGTCCAGGGAAGGGTTGGCAGCTGCTCTGCTCTGACACTTTGGAGTGTATTAGAGGGGAGAGCAGCACACTTGGCAATTTGTAAAATATTACTGCAGGCTAATAAATCTTTCACTGACACTTAGTGTGGCTTTATCAGTGGCAAAATAACATCTTTTAACCATGTGACAGACTTTACAGAAGCTGAAGTGTCAGAGCATGTGAAGTAGCCTGAAGCAGACAGTGTTTTAAAGCATGAAACTTTTAACAGCTGTTCCTTTTCTCCCTTACACTGGTGCACTTCAGGGAGAAGTTGAGTTCTTCTAAAGTCACTGGTGTGACAGAGTAAGAGATCAAAGGGAGCAGAGGATGGAGTGGGGGATGCTGTCTGCTCCTGGCTCAGCCTGGCAGCTGCAGGGCTGCAGATCTGAGCTCCTGGCTGTCCAGAGGGCTCCTGGGTGTCCCTGGGTCACTGAGTCCCGCTGTGTCCAGCTGGAATGGGCCAAGGGTGAGCTCCTGTGGGGCCCTGGCACACAGAACCCTCCAGGCAGGGCCAGTGCTCACCCCAGTGCTCCAGGATCAGTGCAGGGATCAGAGAGGGATCGTCCTGCCCAGGAGCAGGGCAGAGTGCAGAGCCAGCAGGAGCAAGGCCTTGTTTGAGAAGCAGGGATCTGTCACACTGCCTAACCAGGATGGGCAATATTTTGTATACATAATATATAACATAGCTGATGAATCTGCGCCTTGGGAGATCTTCACTGAAGATCCAGGTTGTGCCATGATTTTCCATAATATAAAGGGTTTCTCCCACTAGCTGAACTGCCTTATTCCAGCCCCAAAAAATTTTGATCCATCTTGGAAACAATCTTGATTTAAGTCAGCAAATGTATGTTTTTATTTTCTGCAATGTCTAAACATTTCATTTTGATAGAAAATGATGAAATCACATCATGTCATTTCAACTCAGTTTCAGTATTCCTGACATCAGAATCCATCTGACCTTTTCACCTTAGGATGGAGCAGCTTTAAAAATGAAAATGCTTTTTGTGCTCTGCTCTAGGAATACAGGACACACTCAGAAAAATGCACCATCAAAACTAAGAGTTGTAATAATAACTGTGGAGTTCAGTTCATGTGCTGCTGGTGTTGGTTATGAAGGGAGAAGGCACAATTTTAATCTCTCTCTGGTGTGAAAAACAGACGTGGCAAAGATGAATTCTGAATGTGGAACCAGTACAACAGACTGGCACCTCCCAGGAATTGTCTGGAACTCACCTAAAGCTGCTGGAGTTACTGGATTTGTCTCTTTCATATTCTGCCAATTCATCATTCTGATGGGAGTCTTGGGAAGTAACGAGGTTTCTGTGGTGTTATTTGCTTTTTGTAATCATCCATGCTGAAAGCCCCAGTGGGGCTGCCACAGTCACTGTTGCCTGCACCTCCTTTGTGTTTTTGAAAGGCTAGAAGCTTATAAGATAAAAAACTTCTCTGTAATGGAAAAAAAAAACAAATAATTTCTGAGTTGAGGCTTCTTCAGAATTCTCCAGAAGATACCCAGGAATCTGAGGTTTTGTGCTTCATGGGAAAGAATATGTGTGGAAGGGGTTGGTGTGGCTAAAATAGAAATACATGTGACATCTTTACAAGTAGAAATACATGTGACAAGATCTTTTCACATGATTCAAACATGCCCAAATGCAAGGACTGTGTCAGTATTTGCTGAGGATGGGGCTCATCTTCTGGAGTTAGAGAGAAATGCTGGTCAGAGCTGGGGTGTCCTGAACATCAGCTGTGGAATCCTTGCAGGTTCCCAGGGCTCTCAGAGGCAGCTGGAGGAACCAGGGGTGACTCTGGACATTGATCTGTGCAGGAGCAGGGGAGGCTGGCTGAGTAAGGAAGGCTGGGGTGTAATGAACCTGAATTTTTAATGCTGTGCTGCTCTGCCTTTGCTCTAATGAAGGAAGGAATCGTGCTCTAATGGCTAAAGCTGGGATGGGATTTAGGCATTGCAGGTTCTAATGAA